GAGGGTATGAACCGCCTCTTGAACCACAAGGATGTTGTTGGCATCACTTCTTCCAATCAGAAAACTATTTGAAAAGGACCAATTATTCTTTGGAGCGCAGGTCTAAGTCTGTGACGATAGTCTTTGATAGAATTTTATAAGACATGTTGAAGAGGCTTATGGGGTGAAATAATGGTAATCTATCAGCCACAACAGTTTTGGGAATAAGAACTAGGTAGACTTTCAAGATTTGGCTATCGACTACTCCCTTTGACAAAGCAGATTAAACAAAATTTAGCAAGGTAATTTTAACTATATCCCAATTGCTTTTGAAAACAATAGGTTGCATTCTGTCTAGGCCCAGAGCTTTTAAACCTTTCATTTAGAAAACTGCCGATTTTATTTTTCAATGGAGACATCTTTTGTTAACACAACCATTTCCTCGTCGTTCATCACAACTTTAATTTTGTCATAAGGTTCATCCAGTATTCCCACTTCCTTCTTGGCAAAGAGGTCTATAGTAGTTTATAATATGGTCAATCAGGGGCTGCTTTTCCGTGCACCACGTGTCGTTAATGAATAAGCTGACAATTCTGTTTCGCTTATGCCTGATTTTGGTTGTGATATGAATGAATTTAGTATTCCTTTCCCCTTTTAGAATCCAATCCTATCTAGATTTTTGAAGTCACATGATCTCTTCCTGATTTAAAATATTCTGGTATTCTTCATTTAAAGTCCTCTCGAGGTCTTGGAGGTGTTTGGATATTTGATATTTTGGGGATCTTTGGATGCCATTTAAACAATTGTGCAGAATATGTTTTTTCCTGAAAATGTTTTCGAAAGGACTCCTTCCAATCACTAATTTCTTGTTCCTCTTCATTTATAGCTTAAACTATGGCATTATTTTTCCGTCCCAATCAATGGTAAAGACCTTCGTAAAATCTGGATGAGTGAGCCCTAAATCCTCATATCTAAACGACCTTTATTTCTTTTCCAAAATGACTGTCAAATCAATATTTACGACAATGGGATGATCGTCGGAGTAGTGTCTGGCCAAGATAACAGTGAGCATATTAGGGGGGAAAATCCAAGGCTTCTGCATTTATAAGAGTTATGTCTAACCTTTCTTGTAAACCACCTTTCCTTGTACATGTCTCACCCAAGTAAATCTGTTTCCTACCTCACCTATGTCTATCAACTTGCATCTGTCCCATCGTTCTTAAAACTGAACTATATGATCCATGCAATCTGAGTTTGCCTTCCCTTCCTTGGTCGAAGCTATATTATTAAAATCACCTACTATGATCCAAGTTTTATCAACAGTGTCCGAGTCGCTACTCATGTCATTCCAGAAATCCGATTTTTTGTAGGTGTGTGGTTGATCATAAGTGAAAGCAGTTACCCAAACCTTGTCATTTTTATTTAGTTCACAGTGAACCGCTTGATCGGCATTATGTAGGATCTTTATCATTAAGATATTCGAGCTCCATAGAATAATAAGACCCCCCACATCTCCCCTCGGCTAGAACCACAAATTGGTTATCGAAATTCAATTTTTTGTAAAGCGTTTTACCCATCTCTGCCGCAGCTTTGGTTTCAAGCAAAGCCAAAACTATAGGGTTCTCATTTTGAATAATGTCTGCAATTCCTCAAGAATTCACAGCTTTCCACACCCCTACAATTTCAAATCAATTTCATGATAGAACTTTGCTTATGGTTTCCTCCTGATAATCGGGAATAGCTACGATTTTGTTTCTGAGAATTGTAATACTTTTATCTATATTTTGCACTGCTTGAGCAATTTTTATGTTGGTATCCACCATTTGTTTCAAGTGTTTTGGACTTTGAGGGTCAATGATCATGTCCTCCCTTCTTTGTCCCCTTTTTGGTTATCTTCTTTCTGACTTTGTTTGGTGTTGACTTTGATGTTTTTAGTCTTCTCCTTAGCAGGTTGTCTACTAATGTTAGTGTTATTTCCTTTAGTTGCTTCCTTTATTTCCATTTGAAGTTTATGAGCAAAGGGAATATGTCCATCAGGGCATTCATTACTCGTTCCTTGACTGTAGTAATTCGACTGATACCAAATGATTTTTTTCCTGTCTCTCCTTACTGCTCTGATTGGTGATTGATGGGTACCTTCATAAATCGTATTTTCTTACCGCTGTTGTATGATTCATTCCTTTTCCCGGCTATTCTCATTTATCGTAGGATTTCAACTGTTTTATGTGTCTCTTTCTCCGCTTAAAATATGCTGTTTCATTTGTGTTCGCTTGGGTGCTATTGTTCTGGTTTTTGTTGTTACTGCGCATACCTCTTTGCCTTCTTTGGACCAACATCCAGAGGCCATAACGGTCTCATTTGCTGTTGTTTCGTTAGGTAGGTCTTCTTACTTGGATTCTTGGTTTTCTAAATTTGGTTGTGGGGTTTCCTCATTTTCTTTCTGAGAATTGTCGATGATTTTAATGGGACATTGTTCCGTCCTGTGACCTACCATATCGCAGTAAAAACAGATTTGATTTATGCCATCATGTTTAATGTTGAAAGTCATGTTACCTATCCTTATCTTCGAGAGCAGAGGGTTGTTTAAATTCACTTCCACACATATTCTTGCAATTTTTCTCTTGGTTGTCCACGTTGTACGAGAGTCAACTTTTAAGTAGTGTTAACCATCTTACCAACATTCACCAAAATACCTTCATCAATATTCTATCGGGAGACCCGGGATGTGGATCCATACCGAAGTGGACGATATGTTTTCCTTTTCCACAAAAAAGTTTGGCTTCCATTTTTGTACCGTTAGATAATGGTCCATGATCTTCCAAGGGCCTTTTGTTGATCCTATCGTTCGTGTTTTGAAATTTTATGACGTAAAAGCCCTTACCTAAGTCAATGCAGTCAAAATCGCTCTCCAGTTTCCACATCGAGGTGATTTTGCTGATTATAATCTTGTAAGAAAATGTTTCCCCCAAAAACTTGGCTTTCCTCCATGGTTTTCGTATTCTTTCCTTCATTTCTTTATCAATCTTGATTATAGGAATACCGTCATCTTGCATTTCTTCTTCAGCCCCCGACTTGTAGTTTTCTTCTTCAATTCTTGCCGAACTCCTAAACATCCCAGTGAAAATGGGTGAATCTGCCACAATATCTTTTCAAGGCCTTGTCCATGTTCTTTCTTCCGTCGTTCCTTCCCCTTCTGAAGTTCTAAATTGTTTTTTTCCCTGCAGTCTCTGAAGTTTCGCCTGCCTGGGTCACCTCCGTTACCGACGGTGTTTTCCTCCCGCATGGACGATCAGAAGTTGTAAACAACAAGACACCAAGATTCGAAGGTTTTTGTTTCTTGTTTAATGTAAAAACACATAAATGATCATTTTTGACAGTCATAAACTGTATTTGAATTATACTAAAATAATATTTTTCATTAGAATTTAAATAAAATATTGGGTTAATTATATGAATGATTATTTATGTTTGTCTTTTATCCCCTTTTAGTTATTGATTTAAAAAAACATAAAATATTATCGTTTTTTTATTTAATTAAGATATAATCACTTTCGTTTTTATTTAATTAAAATTGTTTATCACATAACTTTATTATCAATTAACAGAATATGTGGCGTGATAGTTGATATAATTAGGGATGGTCATAAGTCGGGTTGAGTCGGGTTTTTAGTCTACTCGACTCGACCCGAGAATAATAACTCCTCCACCCGAGATCCGACCCAACCCGCATGAAACAAGATTTCACCCAACTCAAATCCGACCCTATATATAACTTACAAATCCGACCCGATCTGAAATAATAAAAAATATTATTTTTATTCAATAAAAACAGTGACTTACTTGAAAAAAAATAATATATAGAGGGGTATTATTATAATTATTCCTAAACAATAAGATAAAATTATATTTTTTTCGGGTCAGATATTTTTACCATAAACTTGAACTCGATCTGAGCATCACATTTAAAAACTCGACCCAACCCAAACCCATTTTTTATTAAAAAAACCCGACTTGATCTGGTCGGATCGGAACCCGTCGAGTTCGGGTCTCATACCCAACCCTGGGTATAACCACACATTTAATATATATTATTTACATATTTATTAATTTAATCACAATTTTAAATCAATTTTAACATAAAATATATATTTTTAAATAAAAATAAAATATATTTAATAAATTAATATAAAAATATTTTTTAAGCTAATATATATAAAAATAAATTTAATTATTTATATACTATGATACAAAATATATATACTATGTTGTCTACTTTATACCAAACAATGATATTTGTTTAATGGTTAGAATCTTTTGTCCAAATGTTCTTTTTCTCTGTTTTATTTCAACTAGAGAGTGACATTTGTTATTCTTTGATGGGTGAAAATAAATATATTAAATTAAAATAAAATTAATTATTTAATCGAATGATAACACATTATATGACATGTGACATTATTCGATTGTAATATTATATTTATTTTAATTTATTAAAAAATATAAATAAATTGAGAGTATATAAACAACACATTATTATATCAAAATATTTAACTATTGTTAACAACAGTTAACTCGAGTTGACTAAATCTTAATTCAATAAAAAATAAAACGATAATATCTTATGTTTTTTAAAAGTAATGACTAAAAATAAATAAAACACAAACATAATTAATTATTGTTTAATTATCCCTAAAATATTATATAATAATACAATATTTTATTAAAATTATATTTATTTTATAATATATAATAATTATTTTAAGATAATATTTGTGTCATACATTTATTATGTATATAAATTTAGAAGACGAATTTCATCTTAAAAAAATAACAAAATTATTCTTAAAAGATGAGTGATAGAATCGATGAATTTAATTTTATAAGTAAAAAATAATGAGATATATAAATATATATATATATATATATAACTATTATTATTTATTAATTTTTATAATAAAATATTTTAAATAAGATAATTCTAAAAAAAACACAAGGAGTAACTAATTGTTAACCAAAGGAAATTAAAAAACACACACACCGTTTTCATTTAAATTCGAAATCTTTCCATTTTTGCTCAGTTTATACAAACCCTAATTTTCTATTTCCAAAAGTTTCCACTAAGTAATTAGTATTAACATAAACCCTGAAAATAGTTCTCAAAACAGGCATTCCCCACCCAAAACCTGGCAAGCTTCTCTTCGTCCCATTCCCAACGCGTTTCTCCCTCACTTGTACTCCACGCGCCCCCATCCTCCTTATCCAACCACCCTCTGATCTCCTCCAAGCAGTTCACGACGTTCACGTTCCAGTTAACAATCCCTCTCATGTCCACGCTCGCCATCACGCTCGACTCCGAGTCCGAAAATGACGAGCCGCAGCTCTCTTCGTTGCCGTTGATGGTGACGTACGACGATGACGACTGGAAAACCAACGCCGATGAGTATGGATTCTCGCTAAACCTGACCTTCACCCCGTACGAAGCCGTGGAACAAGTCGTCGACGACGAAGAAGACGTATATTCCACTGATTCGTCAAGAAGCTTCAACAACTCGCTCATAGCGTCAGTTTTGCAACCTTCTCCGTCCGTCGATAAACAGGCCAAAACGTCGTCGTTGAACTCAACCGTCTCCCCCTCCCTCCGTCGTTTCATCACCGTAGACTCGTCGTTTCCGGCGCCGGTATCTTCACTGGCTCTCTTCTTTGCCTCTTCTTCCTCCATTGGGTTTAATCGGAAGAAATAAAATGCAGAAAAAGAACAGTTCATATATAAACCGGAAAAACGTGGAGAGGAAGTATCTGGATATTTTATTTTGATTTGATGGATGACGCATTTAATATCAGCCGTCGATAGGAGGGTCTTAAATGATTTGGATGATGTGGAGGAGGATCTTGATGACAGGTGGCTAAAGGAGTGTCACGTGGGTTAATTATAGTGACGTGAGACGATTTAATCTGTTAAAAAATGGCGGGAAAATTCGAGGTTTAGGGTTTGGTAGTGGTGGTGGTGGGGACATAGGGAAGGATTTATATGCATATATGTCAGTACCTTAGTACCCATAGACCAGTTTTGGAATTCACAAAACAGCGATGGCTTTTTATCTTTTTTGACTTGTGAAATTACATAGATATCCTTATTATGTTTTATTATCTTTATTGATTTCATTCTTTATTTACTCCTTAAAGATTATAACAAAAACATAAATAGAAGTGGAAGAAATAAAATTTGTTATAATTTCATCCTTTATTATGTGGATGTTATAAAAATTATTATTTTTTCAAGCACTTAATATATGGATAAACTTATTTTATTGTCATATAGTATTCTATTAGTTTAAATTTCATTTGATTCACTTTAAAATTTAATGACTAAAATAAAAGTAATAAAATTTAAATAGTATAAATTTATAATTTACTCAACTTATAATGATTTGTTTAACTTACATAATTGATTATTGATATTTGTGTTTTATCTATTTTTTTCATTTATTTTAAAAACATAATATATGATTATTTTTGTTTTTACTTAGTTAAGATGTGGTCACTGCGAGTTAATTGTCGTTAATAACAGTTAAATATTTTGGTATAATCACACATTTGATCTTTATTATTTACATATTCTCTTAATTTAGTCATATTTTTAATAAAATTAAAATATATTTAAATTAAGTTAATAATAAAATATATTTAATAGGTTAATATAAAAAAATAATATACATAAAAAAATTATGAATTTAGGTTAAGTATTTAAACAATAAGATAAAAAATATACATCATGTTGTCTATTTTAGATTAAGAAAATTATGAATTTAGGTTAAGTATTTAAACAATAAGATAAAAAATATACATCATGTTGTCTATTTTAGATTAAGCATTGATTTTGGCTCATTGGTTGGTTACATGCTTGGTTTCCTAAGAGACCTAGGTTTGAATCCCTTTAGCCCAAATTTGTTTTGCTTTGCTTGTTTTTTTTTCAACAATAGGGTGACACATTGGTAGAAAATAAATATAATAAATTAAAATAAAGTTAGTCTTATAACTGAATAGTGACACGTGAAATCATTCAATTGAAAGATTAAATTTATTTTAGTTTATTAAAAGTAAGACTAAATTGAGAGAATATATAATAAAATGATCAAATGTGTGAATACCAAAATATCACTTCACCTAATCTGTTAACAGTTAACGACAATTAACCCATGGTGACCGCATATTAATTAAATAAAAACGAAAGTGACCATATTTTAATTAAATAAAAATAAAAGTGACCGTATATTTTGTTATTTAAAATCAATGAGGAAAAGTGGACAAAACACAAACATAAGTGATCAATCATGTAGTTAACCTTAATAATTATAATATGTTTTGGAGTCTAATATGATGTTTATAAAAGTTATTTTTTACTGAACATTACGTAAGGTTTCAACATGTATCTTTCATTCAAAGTGTAGTATATATTTGATTAAATTAAAGTGATTATGAAATAGTAATTGTTTTAAATACTCTTAACTATTTGATAATAAATGTTCAATGATGTGATTCAAATCAGCCTTCATGCGCACCTATTGATAATAGCATTGCTTACATCTTTGAGCTTATTCAAGATGAAAGAAGAGAGTGTTTTCAATATCTTTACTCATTTTCATTTCTTATACTTTCATTCCTTAATTATCATGACTTTAGTTATATACTATGTTATGCTTATCACATTCCATGTTATGAACATCGTAACTAGTTTATGCCATGTATTAGGTTATTATAACATGTTTCCATTCATTATCATATGAGGTGCATGATATTGTTTTAATATAACCTATAGTCCACATCTTTATGTTATGTTATTATAAGTTTATCTAATGTCTTTTACTTAACTAATTCTTGTTGGATTGTGTGAAGGTACATTTGGTCACACAAGGATGAGAGTTGATTTAAGCTATTAAAGGAAGTTCAAAGTTATGGAAACCAACTTAGGACAACTCCATGGAAGCTTACGATCAAATCTAGGAAAAGTCGACAACTGCACTTGAGCTCATAGCTGGATTGAGCTAAACAAATGAGCTAGTTCAGCTACTCAAATCAGCTGGGGAGTTGAAAGGATGAAAACTTCCATCAATGAACATGCCTTCTACACAAAGTCAATTTTCTATAGTTCGTGTCTTTTTGCGAAGAGGTGTCTTTTCGGGACGTACCTTTTCACTATAAGCTTCCAAATACTTTATCATGCCTCTATCCACCTATGACCAGCTCAACTTTAACTCATTCATCCTACAACATACCGTTTCATGAAGGTTACTTCTAACCATTGTGACCTTCCATTAAGGTGACTATTCATGAAAGGTCCCCACTTCAAGAGGTGCACATTGGTGAAGAGATATCTAACAGATGCCTAGAACTCGAAGAGTCATGAGGCAAGCTACATGATTATTTAGCCACAACAAGGGGGGATGGACGACACATGCATGGAACATGAGAAGACAATCCATTTAATCCATTCATTATGTACTTTCATTAAAAGGATCATGTATGAAAATAAGGGTGCATGCCTTAGCCTTATAACTATGTAATGTTTCGGTCAAACCCTTTGAAATCTTATAAATAGAAAGACATTTGGCTTTGTAAACACACCATTCACTTTAATCAAAGTATCCATTTTGTGAGGTTCCTCTCTTCAAAGTTTTTTTACAATTATTTTGACTTATCGAATATTCATACTTGTGGCATCACCCCATCTTTAACTCTGATACTTCCGGTTCCTAAATCTTTATATCTAGTGGGTCAACGTCCTATTTACCACCCCTTAAAGAAGTCTTATAAGGTATGAGGTTATGTTCTTTATAACATAATTTCTTCCTTGACAACTTTAAGATACTATCTCCATTTTCATCACCATTGTCGAGCACCATCTTCATCATCATCATCAAATGACTACTTCAAGGCATTCAAACATATCATCAACTTCATCTATTTCTTTCGCAACCAACTCTATATTTCTATCACCTTATCTTTTCATTATTTCATATATTTCATTACCTTATATCACTATTAATTTAAACCTTTTTGTTTGAAGCCCAAACTTTCAATACAAGGACAACACTTATTGTTCATCCTAGATCAGGAAACAATCAAGGCAACTTATTCTTCTTTATCCTTGGAGGAGAGTGGAAGATGTTATATCTAACAATATTCAGAGAATTGGTGGATCAACAAAGAAGTGTTAATTGAAAGAAAAACGTTGCAATAACAAAGAAGAAAACAAACAAAAAAGAACTGCAAAGAAAAGTGCAAAAGAAAAACAAAAAGAAAGAAGGCTACAACATCATTTCAAAAGGAGAATAAACGTCAACACACAACATCCCATATCACCAAGAAGAGCACAAAGTTACGTAACCTCAAAAACTGCATCAACCAACCCACATATTTAGCCTCCGTAATTGATTGAGACACGAACTTTTGTTTACATGTGCACCAAGACAAAACATTATCACCAAGATAAACACAATAACTAAAAAATGAACGTCTGCCATCTAAATTACTGGCCTAATCAACATCAAATAATGCACGTAAACGAAGATTTGTTGTGGAAGCACGAAAGACTAAACCATAGTCCATAGTACCACTAAAATACCAGAGAATATGTTTAACTGCCAACCAATGGAACTCACAAGGATGATGCATAAATTGAGAAACACGCCCAATGCTAAACGTAATATCTGGTCGCGTGTTACTTAAGTAAAGAAGAGCACCCACCAAACTACAATAAAGTTGTACATAATCAAGTAAACGACCAACATCTTGCATTAAATTGGGAGTGGAAACCATGAGAGTAGGAGCTGACCGAGCAACCAACATATCAGCACGCTCAAGTAGCTCACGAATGTACTTCTGCTGACTTAAAAAAAAACGACATCATGTCCTTCAACCTTAAGTTTGAGAAAGAAACTTAACTCACCAAGATCTTTTAATGAGAACTCACGACTAAGAGACGATGCTGATTTTTCAATCATCTCATTAGAATCACCTGTGATAATAATATCATCAACATACACCAAAACCTATAAACAATGATCACCACCATGCCGAAATAAAGAATGAAGCATCATTTTGAGTCCTAGTAAAATCGATACTTAGTAAAAAGGACCGAAGCTTAGAATACCAATTTCTAGGAGCTTGTTTCAACCTATTAAAAGCTTTCTCTAAATCACATACAATTCTATCTCCTTTTGATGATTCTTGCTCAAAACTCGGTGTTTGAACCATAAAAACTTCCTCAACAAGTTCACCACAAAGATACTCATTATTAACATCAACTTGTCGAAGCTTCTTATAATTCAAAACAACTAATAAGAGAACCTCATTTATAGTCGATGACTTCACAACCAGACTGAATGTGCCATGAAAATCATACCTTGGAACTTGAAATAACCCTTCACCACGAGCTTCTCTTGATACCTAGCCATAGAACCATCCAGATTCTTTTTAATAAAATAACCACTTGTACCTTGTAGACACCTATTTTTGTCTGGGGATTTATCTCAAATTTTGAACTAGTGTTTTTATAATAGTATTATGTAATATATTTGAAAATGTAGTTTTGAAAAATATATATTATATATAGGTAAAAAATATATGTATATTTTTTTTATATATATATATATAAATTATATTTTGAAAATATATAGTTTTTAAGGTATATATATTATATTTTAAAAATGCATAATTTTTTA